AGACGGCGGTCCTTCCGCTTCAAATGGATCCCTTTCTGGTTTAAGCAATTCAACATCATTAGACCCCACCTCCTCTTCTGCCATGGTGGCTCCATCTAGCACTTGACCAATTTGTCGTTTGAAATAACAGAATGGTTTACATCGATGCTCAACACTACACATCCTTCACGCAACTCTCCAATAGCAAAGAACAGTCAGCACACAACTTGTAGATTTTTGCTCTTGCCTGCTGTACTTCTTCAGCTGCTTCATTGCCTTTGTTCAAATGAACACCACTACCTTGTTCTCCTGAGTCCTGTTTTAGACCCTTAAGGCAATGAAGCAGCTGAAGAAGCAACCAGAAGTTCTTTCCGATCAGAATTGCGGTGAGGGTGGCGGGGAACAAGCATTGTGGTGGATTTGCTTGCAGTTGAGGAGCAATTGACATATGGCGGGTCAGAACTCTTCAACAGCAGGTCCGTCAGCAGCAGATTGCTTGGGAGAATGCGATTTTCAGGTACTGGTCTAGGCTATGTAGGCCAATTAGTGTCTTTTTGAGCAGGAAGTGGATTGTGGGAGTTTTCTCACTACAATTCAAACAGAGAACATGCTGGTATAATCAGAGCTTTATGAAGCTTTATGTTACTAGCTTGCACCTGAGTTCTTGGCTGCTAGGGGAACTCCAAATGCAGAGGTTTTAGTGGCTATTCCAATGGTTTTGTGTGCTGTGGGTTTTCGATGGTGGAATTGGCTTGAGGAGTCTTGTGTTGTAGATAAGAAACCACCAGTGTCTACCATGGATGAGTTTGAGGCTGCTTTTTGTTTACGTTTTGCCCCTCATTACGACGTGGAGAATGCTCGTACAGAACTTCAACATTTCCAGCAAGGGAAAATGACACTTGGGGACTATATTGAGAAGCTGACTCGCTTGATTAGTTGTGTTCCAACGAAGGATCCAAATCAGAACAAGTCCTACTTCATTGATGGCCTATATAGTGAGAGCATATGGCAACATTTACATCATTCTCAGCCTACAAAGAGTTTGGAGGAGCTCTATGATGCGGCTTGTCGACTTGACAATGACAAGCACAAGTCTCGCAAGCGTTCGTGGAGTCCTTCTGTCAAGAATCGTCGTGATGATTGCCATGGACACAAGGATGGGAACAAGCATCACAAATTGAAGTTAGTGGTGACTACTTCGGATGCAAAGGGGTCCAAGAAGCAGAAGTTCTTTATAAAGAATTATAGATAGGGTTGTCATCATTGTGGACTTGGACACTACAAGGCTGATTGTCCACAGTTAAAGAACAAGCAGCAGGACAAGAAGAATGCCCAATTTTCTTCTCACGGTAAGTCAGATACTAAAAAGTTACAAACTTTGCAGTGTGAGGATGACGAGAACGACCATTCCTGTCAGAAGAAGAGACTTTCGATCGTGGCTCGTCAGCTCAACTGTGTGTGGAACAAGATGGAGCTCAAGGATACGCGTGAATCAGCTTTAATGCTGGAGGGTGTGTTCCGTGGCCATCCAGTGCGGATTTTACTGGATAGTGGGTGATGACAACTTTGTTTCAGCCAAGTTTGTTGCAAAGCATGGCCTGGTCACACGTGGAGTTCTTCCATACATAGTGGAAGGTGCAACTACCTTTGCTCAGCATTTCGATGCTTGTGTCGAGGGGTTGGAAGTGTTGGTTGGCAAAACCACACTTGTGGAGACTTTTTATCTTGCGAATATCCATCGTGTGGATCTCATTCTTGGGATGCCATGGTTGGTGAAGGTGGATCCAGAGATAAAGTGAAGTATTAAGCATATCTTGCTAAAGTATGGTGGCGTTAAAGATGTGTGTAAGCCACAAATTTTTCCTTTCCAATTTGCCAGCTTATCTCATCTATCCGTCCAACACTGCCTTGGCTTTTGCTAAGTTCCCTCGCCAAGGTTCCCGCCTATGGTACCAGCTCCTACTTGGTCCTACTTGGTTTCAGCTACTCACTGCACGAGCAACGGAGTGTTAGCTATCCATCCACGGATTCCCGAATCTCTCCCAATCCCCCTCCCCGGGTTAGACTGGACTTAAGGTTCGGCTACACTCCCCACAAGCACAAGCAGCCAAGCACACCAAGCTTCCAGATTCCTAACATCCCTTGGTACCACAAGACTTGATCATGGGACCCTCTAAATCCCAAGTCTTGGGTGCAACACTTGCTTCGGGACGCCGGGGCAAAACACCGTGGCCGAACGGCTCAGTATGGGTACCTCTACCCACCCACTTCCATCCTAAAGGGAAGGTCCAAGCTCCTGGGAAGGGCGAGGACCAATGAGCCGCATGGTACTCAAGTGGGGCACCACTCCACATGAGCCAGGAGCACCACAGTCGGTTTCCCTTTCGGGAGTGGGAGCTGCTCTTGAGCACTTCCTTGGATGGCCCCTCTGGCACCAACCACGTCCATGCTCACTCCCACCTAAGGCCCCTCGGTCCCAGTCCCAACCTCAAGTCAGTTTGGAAGCCCCATTGGAGAGTTCCTTCAAAACTGGTTCCTAGACCTCACTATCCTTACTATACTTTT